TTTAGGGTTTTAGGGTCTAGAGTTTAGGGCCTAGAACCTAAAGCCCTGAATCTCTGTCGGGAATGCCGTCGGGAAACGCTCTTGGCCTCGGCATCCAACATTTGCTTGGCCTCATCGATCTGATCCGAAGGCTGTTTCATCAGTTTTTCTTTTAAGGTTTAGGGTTTAGGGTTTAGGGAGTTTAGGGGTTTAGGGTTTAGGGTTTAGGGGTTTAGGGTTTAGGGGTTTAGAGTTTGCAGTCGGGATAAGGACCCGGGTGTTTCTTCAGGGTTTAAGGATCCGGGCTTTGGGGAAATTAAGCGGCTTAAGGGTTTACGAGGCGAGTTTGGGGAAAGAGGGTGCAGGTGTCAGGGGACTGGGTTTTGGGCTTGGCATGTGCAGGGGGACCCGTGTGCAAGGAAGGCTCGGGAGGTAGACAGGTAGAGGAAGCATCGGCGGCTACCAAGGCCTTGAAACTGCTTACTGGTCTTAGGATTTAGGGTTAGGGTCTTGTGCCAGCAGGAGCAAGGTGTTCGCCATCAATCTGCGAGCTCTCTGCCTTGTGCACGCCTCGAACCCTAAACCCGAAACACCCAAACTCCAGAAACCTTTGTTACTTTGTTAAAGTCTCAAGACTCAGGCGTCATGATTCGGCCTCCGCAGATTCTGCTGCTGTGGAGGAAAATTTGTCCTGGCCGGGGACCGGTTTAGGGAAACCCTAAACCCTAAACATCCCTAAACCTTTAAAACATCCCTAAACCCTAAACATCACTAAACCCTAAACCGTGTTTGGAGTTTTGGGCTTTGGGGCAGGGGTTTTGAGCTTCGGGTTTGGGGTCTCGTCGGAAGCCACAGCGACCCGAGCTGGGTTTTTGGGCTATATAGTATAAGTAGGCATGCCTTAGTTGCAGAATAGATTCAACAGCTGTTGGAACCGTGCTGGCACCAAAGCCCTATTATAAAGCCCCGATACCTCAATACACTGAACCCTAAAAGGCCACCCTTTCGTCAGCGCTCTGTACGCTCCGACGCTCTTCCGGCCAACTGTTGCAGCCGAGAGACATGCACACCCGTAGTTTCTTGGCAAACTGTGGGCAACCTTGAAGATTCATGGGCAGTCCTAGCTATGGTTTGGGAAAATCAGCACTTAAAGGAAGGCTACCCACAACTCAAAGTATAGCCAACTGGTGTGAAACCCCCCGTCAGGCTTAAGGCGACACAACTAACCTAACTAACCATGAACCTCCAGGAACAGGTCCCCCAATATTCTGTGGGGTTTGAGACTCTTCACATCCACATCCAAAATAAGTGCGGGCGCAGGCCTCTTGTGGGCCAACCCAGCAAAAAGCATCATGTCTTGGGGATATGTACACATGCCACCTCAGCATGAGCTCGGTGGGACTTCGCTGCTGCTACTGCTCTCGTCGTCCATTTGAAGGACAGCCTTGAAGCGCAGATCTTCTTCGATTGCAGGGAGGGAGCCTCTGTCGCACTTCCAGATTGTAACACACATGACAGCCACACAGGCAGCTAATAGGGCCCATCCCCATGCCACAAGACTCGTGGGGTATCCCCCATACTGTTCCCGAGCCACATAGTTGATCTGGTAGATGCATAGAAAGCTGGTTGCCAGGGGAACGGTCAGGTGAAGATCAGTTCGACAAAGCCAGCGGGGGAAGAGATTCCGACCGTTCGGAGTCAGTCTATTCCCAACTGTCGCAGCCTTTAGGGAATACGAGAGGCGCTGCCACCCGACATCAAAGTTCAAGATGAGGGACTCGACGAAACCTGGGCATTCAAGCTTTCGTGGAAAAAAACGGTGGACCTTTGGGTTTGGGGTTTAGGGTTTAGGAGTTTAGGGTTTAGGGTTTAGGGTTTGGGGTTTAGGGACATACCACCCCGAATGGCCCCAATGAAGCACAAAGCTTGTTGAAATACCGGACTATCAAGTTTACCAAGAAGCACACAGCCAGGAGGAATATTGTGCCAACGAACATGTCGATGACATCCAAGAGGTTATTACCCAATCGCGTTGTGAAGACTAAGCCAAGCAGGAACATGATGGTACAAAGCACCAAGGAGGTTTGCCAGATGGGTCTCTTATACCCATTCTGCCGTAAGACTTCATCCACAGAACTGACAATAGTTTCAGTCCAAGCATAAGACGAGTCAAGACCTAAAGTAAACAGCATGACGAAGAACAAGACGGACATGATGTTCTGAAAGTCGCCGAATAGGGTCATCGCCTCAGAGATGATGATGAAGGCCAGGCCAGTGCCACTTTTAGTAGCGACATCTTCGACAGGGACGCCCTTGTCGTGGGCTAGGTGGCCCACCATGGAGAAAACTGCGAACCCTCCCAACAACGAGAATGCGGAGTTTGCAACGGCGACAATGAGCCCTGCACGGTAAACGTCTTCTTTGGGCTTCACGAAGCTTGAGTAAGTGATAGCGGTTCCAAAGCCAGGAGACAAGCTGAAAAGGATCTGTCCCAATGCCGTGGCCCACACATCCAGTCGCGCAAGCTGCGATGCTTCAAACTTGCCAATGTAGTACTTGACTCCATCAAAGGCCCCATTCTGTTGTGCAGCCACCACCACGAGAATGACCATCAACATAACAGGCATGATCACCGTGACATAGGTGATTTGAGCGAGGATGTTCTTGCCGAAAGCGACGGAAAGAAAGGTGATCACCCAGAAGACCAAGAGGGAAATGGCCAAACGCCATTGGATAGGCCCTAAGCCGGGAGGCTTGCTGCTCAGGTCCGGGTAGCTGTTCAAGATTGTATCGGACCAGAACTCCGCCGATGAGGTCGCGGTCCAAGGCAACGGCTCTTCACAGCTGGCGGCAATGTAAGGTAAGGTGTAAGTGATGATGACCGAAAAATAAGTTTGCACGATGAAGAGCATGAGGAATTGAGCCCAACCAAAAGATAGCCACCGCGGGCGGATGAAAGTCCATGTCTCGACAAAGGTCTTGCGCACATACTGTCCCAGGATCATCTCATAGATGAAGAGAGGCCAGGCCACCAGGACGGCACAAACTACGTAGGCGATGACAGCAGCTGCACCCCCATTCTTGCTGATGACGTAGGGGAAGCGCCAGACATTCCCGATGCCGATGGCATAGCCTAGTAAGGCAAAAAGATAGGCAGTGGTGCTCATGTGCTCTTGTCCATCGTCTCCTTTGGTCACCTGAACCTCAACGGGCTTGCGAAGCACTATGTAGCGAACTAAGTAGATGACAGGGCCCAGGAAGACCAACACAAGGAGTGTGATGAGCCCACTTGCTGAGATGGCCATGGCTTGACAGTCGAAACTCGTGGCTTTTTGTTGTCAAAAGGGTCCGGAGTCTCGGGTCCATGGCTGATGTGGGCAATTTACTTCTGACTCGAAACCGGTTTGGGGTTTGGGGTTTAGGGGCTGCAACTTGGGGTTCAGTGGCTGGTTGCTTGCACAAGGCAGGGGACTCCAGACTAGCCCCGTGTTGAGGCACACTCCGGCATGGGTTCGAAGATAAAACCCTAAAGCCCTAAGCACTAAACCCGAATATAATCTGTTGTTCACCGTCATCGTTCGGGCCTTGGCTTTGGGGGGGTGGGGCTGCTCCTGCTAGAGCCGCAATGCCGCAACGTCAAGGATGGCAGTCAACAGGAGTGGGGATCTCACTTTGGAGGCCTCAACAGGTGGGATGAAGGTAGGTAGGACTAAGGACCCCTTACATAAGAACCCTTATTTTGGGATTACCCCACCAACCTTCATCCCACCTTTTTGGGGCCCGTGACCACTCAACACCATCATAACCATGTCCGTGCTATTGCCTATCAGCCATCAACAAGTTCATGAGACACCCAACCTGCTGTTGATGATATAAATCCTGCATGACCCATAAGAAGGAATATACCACAATTCCCATAGTTTAGGGTCCTTGAGGTAATGCAGGATTTATATCATCAACAGTAGTAGGCCAAGCTAAACTTGAAATTGGTCGCCTCCTCCCCGGGCCGCAGAGGCTGCTCCGGTGGGGCGTAGTCGCTTGGAAGCTCTCGCAAGGTCTCGGGGTAACAGACACTTTTAGGGTTTAGGGCTGAGGGTTCCGTAGTTTATAGGGTTTAGGGTTGAGGGTTTCGGGTTCCGTAGAGGATCGCGAAGCTTCGCAGGCTGTTGTTGCAGAATTCCAGCCAGCATATACCAAAGACTAAAACCGACATACAAGTAGCGAAGCCTATCTATGAAATCCTAAACCCCAATCCCGCCTTTGCTGGCTTCAACGGATCTGCTTCGGGCTTCCCGCACAAGGTGTACATTCAGGGTGCGCACTTCCAGGCTCATCAGTAGTCATATACTAGACGCCAGAAATAGTATCCTCATGCTCTCAAGGTAGAGCATAAGAAATTCTAGTGCTAAACATCCTTAATTCATGTTCCAACCGTCTGGAGCTCCCTTTTTGAAAGACGTTGATGAGTTTCAATACGTGCAACATGGCTGCCGTTACCATACATTATCTGTACTTCGAAGCACCCCCCCCCCCCTCACCCCAAGTGGGGCCTAGATAGGGGGTCCATCACAGGATCCCTGATAGGAATAAGAGCCTAATCAGTGGGTGGAGTCGCTGCGTTGGGACCCTCAGATCATAGCATTTGGGAAGATGAGAAAAAGTATGACTGATCGCACTGAATTCCTGGTTTGGGCGTAGGGTTTAAGATTTCAGATTCCACCTGACTAGGTTCTGGGCACCAGGTTAACACAGCAATGCTTCGCCAAACAGGTCGGTCGCAGGTTACTCCGGATTCTGAGCCAGATCTTTCTTCATGAGGTTCCTAAGCTCGCAGTGTTTAGGCCCGTGTGCAGCTTCATCCGCTTGAGATGTGCATAAACCCTGTAGGCCAAGACTCAAGACAGTATTCGAGCTCGCCGTGTCTGTACTCACACTCGGCCCAGCCGCTGTTCAGCCAAGGCTACACTGGATACGCATCAAATAGTTTCTTTAGATTCAAGGTGTAGAACACACATCTAGATTTTGTTGTCTAAATGGGTTGGGAAACCCAAGAAAGCGTTGTTTGCTCGGACTGCAACCGGGCCCACGACCACGCCGCTCGCGACAAGCGACGCCTGACGGGCGATTCATCTGATTTCCAAGTAAGTACTGGTTTTTAGGGTTTAGGGTTTCAGGGTTTGGGGTTTAGGTTTTCGTACTGGTGGTCGTGGTCGTGGTCGTGCTGGTCCTGCTAGTGGTGGTAGCAGGAAGTAGTAGTCGTCGCCGTGGTCTCGGTGATGCTAGTGCTAGTGCTAGTAGCAGTAGCCGTAGTAGCAGTAACAGTAGGGACCCACAGAAATGCATCCTGGCAACAACGACACGAGGGAGTCTTGACGCTTACCCCGGATTTGAAGTCTTCTGCCTGGATGAGGGCGAGCGTTCCCCCTGGAAACGATCTGCCAACTCCGGCCCATGCTCCCGTGCTCCGGCATCCTCACTTCCTCTCCTCACGGAATCTATACTGAACTTGGCACCCTTGTAACTGTAAAATGCATACGTTGAGCTATTTCTGAGGTCCTAAGGATTATAAAACCAAAATTCCAAAATTTGTCCAAGCACCCATCGGGAAAATCCAGGGCCCTAGCGTAGCATGCCAGTCGCAAAGACGACCCCAAAGCCAGTCTACACTACGAACCTGGAAACATCAGGAAGTTTGAAGTTTTCAAGTTCAAGGCTCCTGACGTAACATTTCCAATACCCCTAGAACCTTCATACCAACATTGAAACCTCTTGCGAGATGTGGTAATGACCAAACGCCTTGCGTGGCCGTGGGTCCATGGTAGTCCCTTAACAAGGATGCCCACCATCATTCAAAAAGACTTTCCTTAATAACGGGAAACCCTACTTGGAAGTTCATGGGTA